AAGAGGATCTGCTTCAAATTAAGCTCACCTACAAGCACTTTTTCAAGCGCGCTTGGTAGCCGCTGTGAGACATTCTAAACACGGTACCATCTCCTTATATGGGGCATTTTTGTACATTCAATCTATGGTAGCCCTGGTGTTCAGTGATATCAAAAGGGAGGCCAGTCGGCAAGGCAGATTGCTTGTTCAAAACCAAAATGATCTAGTTTCCCCATTTCTCATCCTATATTTAAAGCAACCGAATTTCGTAGGTACTGCAGTCAATCGTCATTTAAGGAAGCAAGCAGATTTTGGAGCGCACTTCCGTGTACAATCGCGGCTACTGGGGCTAGATGGGACTCATGTTCAATATGTTCGGTGAATATATAATCGATTACTCCGCGACCTCTGCCTCTTGACTTCTCCTGTCTAGGCTTTGGGAACCTGGCAGTATCTCAGCTCTCATGCTTCCTTCGGGTGGCATCGGAGCCAGGCTCCGAAAGAATTCTCCAGCTGAACCATTATTTGTGTGTGTAATCTTTACGTCCTCCTAGGTCTTGCAAGTAAGCAGAGAGGCAGCCTGTGCTAAAGAATAGTAACATTTTTTCGGATGTAGCATAATCCAACGAGTCTCCAGTTTTATTATGCATAATGAAGCCAGCGTTTCAACAAGCCAGGAGCAGACGGATTTAACTATTTTCTACGTACGCCTGAAGGCGAACTAGCTAACTAACACGGTTTCGTTGCCATGCGTTTTTTCCACTGCAGTCCAGATGAAAGCGCCTTGGGGTCTGTTGTGAAGAGCCAGCCTGTCAGAGTCAAGATAGCTACAATCAGGGTACCATGCTTGCCGGACTGCGCTTTCAGAAATGCTTACATGACACAAATATGAAAGACCTTATTTCATACTTGAACTTTGAAGGGATTTTTTGCGAGTTTCGCAGCCGAAGTTTCGATAAATTTCTGCAGATACTGCTTAATTGTACTCACCGTCCTGCAGTCTTTGGAGTGCTAACTGGGTCATTCACCGAAAATGCAGGTTCCGCGAACGGTATTAGCTCTTGTATGCAGTTGATTGAACTTTTTCAGATTGTAATTTCAATGTCTGAGTATATGAGTGGGATTTTTGTGCATTCAGTTGAGTTTAGGCCTGCTTCCCACATACTGAGGTGAATACTTCCATACTGTTTCCTCAGGGCAGTAAAATTACCTTGACGAACACTAATACAACGGAAGTACTGCCGTGTACAAGTACGCAAACTTAAGCATACAATAGGGACGAGCCTGCCTCAAGAGGTGCTTTTCCTTTCAGAGCGCATATACTTGAATTTCGCTTTCACGTCAGTGTTCTTATCGGGACATCGTGACATGCCAATTTTCAAACTTGATTTCTAACCAACTCTAACCAATATGACCAAAGGGGTTAACGAAAACTGTCACTTTTTGTGCTTTATCGGACTGTTTAGTACTTGTGCACTCAGTGTTGCCGATTTGGTTCAGGTTCGTTTAGTACCGTTTCGAGTGCAGTGGTTCCGCTTTAGATTTGAAGGTGTTGGCGGGATTCTCGAACTATCATCACCCTTGACTTATTCTCTTCGCAAACACTTGTCAACGTTGCCAGTTTTTCTCCTCGACTTGACTAAGTCGTGCATCAGATGCAGTTAATGTCTCGATGTTTCGGTAGATTACTTTTTACTAAAGCAAGCTGTTCTGGCTCCAAGAATTATAGCACCTGACGGCAGGATTTCTGTCGCTGGAATTCACCTTAGATGCACGCTATTTTTGGGGAACGTGGAGTTCCTCGAAAACAGGCCTGTATCAAAGAACAGGTAGACCAACATCGGCCTGCACATGCAAAAGAAGCATGCTGCGAGATTTCATTTTTATGCTTGATCTCCAAACTGCGCATCATCCGCAAAATATCCTCAAATTTCGGCAATTCATTCCTACAAAACTACATATACGTGGGTGGAATCACAAGATGCTTTGATCTGGGTAAAAACGGAAGGTAAAATGCACGTTTATTTTCGAGGGTCGGGTCACAAACTTCTGTTGAAGAGGTGCCATCTGGTCTGTTATCTGGTTTTGGCAGTTGGATAACGATCGTTTTGTCACGTAAGGACATCGTCGGTGCCCCTTTAGAGAGCATTTACTCCAGTTATGCTTGCGTCTACGTAGTTTCTTAAGGTTGGTTGATATCTGTAATATGTTGGACCGCCAGGAGTTTTGTTTGATTAGTCTGCTTGGAATTTGTGCTGTGTCGCGATCCGATTTGCACGTATTCCATTAGTTCGCGTGAGGTCTTCCTTTAAATGATTCTGTTCGTTTGTTCCGGTTAGTCTGTTGGCGAGTGTATCGATGAGCCTCTGACATTGGACTTGTCAGTTGAACATGTTCTATTTTTAGAAGTATCAAATCTGATTTGGTCGATCAATTCTCACGTTCTAGTACATTGTGTTCAGGGATTTTGGTTACCGGCAGGTTACAAAGGAACTTCTTCCTCTTGTGCAGTTTTCGTTTTCAATTGAGGTTCGGTCCTGTCAGTGAGATCAATCTATGCTGAAAAGCTGAGAAGTACTACATACGTGCTTCATCTTTATAGGAAATTATCAGAAGTGTGGATCACCAGGGTCTCGAACTCGCAACCTTCCCGCTAACAGTTTGAGCACTTTACCGTCCGGCCACGAACAGCTGATCAGTAGTGTGAGATGTGCACTGTTGATGACACCCAGTAAGGATGAAACAGCTGCACAGGGTTTCTCGACTCTTCAGCACACATTGGCTTCACGTACAGAATGGAATTACCATTAAAATTCCTAAATTCTACAGTATCAACAATATATATGTACACAAAGTGCATGGCCAGTGAACTGGAAGTCACCGATCAAATTCTCCAGGCGTTCACGTCCCCATTTTGGACCCCGCCATATCGGCAAGACGTCCAGGCTTTGAAGAGAAAGTTTTCGCTTAATCTACTCCAAATTATTAATAATAACAGTTTAGCTGATTAGCTCAGTGCATAGAAGCTATGCTATCTGCCCATATTAAACCAGAAAGGTTTCACTAATGAACCACTCGCCCACGGTCTGATCTGCACCGTCAACACGTGTGATGTAGGTTCCATTCTTGGTCTGCCTACTGTTAACCTGTTCAAGTGCTTATTTCAATTCCGGTGGCTTTCTCCTGGGAAATGAAGACTCGCCTCCAAAAGCTGCTTAAAGCTATTCGGTGGACGCAGTCTCAGACAGCTAACCAGTGAGCCACAGGAGCGATCCCACTACGCCCACTCGATCGTTCCCGACAAAACGAGGAAGGCCTGCTATGGCAGAAATTTTCGGGATCCGACCACAGTCCCTTTTACTAAACATCCGGTAAAATTCTGAGTACACAACTTGGTGTACATCAAATCATTCGCGAGAATCGATTACTTTTTAGCTGAGGGGGCATTACTGTGGACCGTCTAAATAAGCCAACAGCTGGTCAGGCGAAATGGCTCAGTGATTAAAGCGCGAACTTACTGACTGGAAGGTCTGTGGTTCAAACCCAAACTCTGCCTCCCGACTTCCTTTGTCTAGAATTGTGCAAGTTGACGGTATCCCAGCCCTCGTGCTTTCTTCTGGTGGCATGGTAGCTAGGCACCGAAAGGGTGCTACAGCTGAACGATTTTTTACTGCTTATCTCTGTTATCACTGTGGTTCACTTAATGCCTAGTAATTTCCAAATAGTGATCGCTAGATCTTTCCACTTGTTTCAGAATTAAACAAGGATTAATCGCGGAACATTCGTGAAAACTAAGCCAATAGTGAAATTGCCTTTCATCCGCTTCCACTTAAACAACTCGGGTGACCAGTGAATTTCCCTGTCCCAATGGTCAACCCTCCGTACGGGCGGTACCGGTAGGCATCTAGATTCACACGGACAATTACTCGCACCCCCTGACTTCAGCCTCAGTATCCAATATTCAACTGATGGATGGCAGTTGAAAGATCTGTTGCAACCTGACTCAGGATCAAAAGGTACCAGGTTGATGTGTCGTGCTTGAGTGCTCTAATGCTCCCGTGGGTTGCACAACAATCATAGTATGTGCCAGTAAGATGTTCCCTCCAGGCGATCAGAATACCAAAACAGGGACGCTGCCTTTCTTCGAGGAATGGCAGGTTAGAAAAGGTCGGCATTATAAACTGCAAACTCCGATCGCCCAGCAGTTGACGGAGAGCATAAATACAAGTAAAAGCTGCGAATGACCTGATGCTGTTCCAAACGTATCAGGTACGCGCAACAGCATCACGGGTGAAACACGCCTAACTCCCTGCGTTGCCGGGATAGGTCAGTCAAATGGAGCCAAGGAGGTGAGACTATAAATTCATCGGCTGAGGCAAATTAACTCAAGAACGGCCCACTACCTGCAACTTCGAGTGCAGAGGCGAAGGCTCAAGGCAGCCAGTTTAGACATGCTCGTTCTTCTTACACAAATTCACTCACCAGCTGTCAACTACACCATCCTCATCCTCCAACTTCACTGCGTTCAATCAATCCACCAAGCCCCTAACCATTCTTCCGAGCCCAAACCACTGCAAATAAAAAAGGAAGCTCTGACTACACCAAAAAGACCTGATTCACGCTGCAGCTCTCACTACCTAACTCTCAGTCAAGGTGAGCAACAGGCATACCTTGTTGAAACTTATCATTCCTTTACTGGCAATTCGAACTGTTTCCGAAACACACATACAAGACCCCTACACAGAGACATTGCAACTTAACATAGTGTGTACCTACGCGACCCATTAGACTATACTGGGGATGGATTTCCATGTGACACTTGCAAAGACTGGTCAACGATAAGAGGTCAGACCAAAGGTCCCCTGATCCTTTATGTTAGTGGCTGGGGAAAAGTGACGAATTCTTGTGTGAAAAATGTTAAATAATGGCAATACCTGCCAAGCACCACTACGTTGCAGTCAGGCCTTATAGCCAGAATTTGGTTGATGACCCTAATAGTCCTCCTCTACGTTTAAGTGTCATGAGAGCATTGTAAGCCGACATGCAACTATCACTCCTACAACTAACGATACTGTCATCCCACATCGGCCGTAGCCGTCACCAGCGGCTTAATATGCTGTATACAAAGAGAGGGTGACCGAAAAAGACTACAGTTAAAATCTTCCTTTCCACTTCACATACTTTTTTTCTCTCACCCATCGCAAAAGTATCACTCCCTTTGTAGACCAATCCATCGGGAGGGACGACCCCACTCGTTTTGCACCAGCGTTGACCACAACATCTACGGGGCAGTCGGTGTCGACAGCCTCAGGCATCACAAATCAATCTCAAGCACCCACTTCTGATATGCCTGATTGCTTTTAATGTTCGTACTCTGAAGCACGCAGGATTACAAGCTGCACTTGCTCACAGTGGAATCGCCTGATAATGTGTGCTGCACACCAGAAAAAAGAACTCAACATCCAAGCAATGAGCTAACTGCCCCATCACTCCTCACTCGCCTTTGGCTGCGCACCGCTGGCAATCAAGAGGCTGCTTCGGCGGAATGTGCAGGGGTAGGTTTAGTCCCAAGTTGTCAGGCAGAAAAACCCTTGATTGACTGCATGTACATTGGCAGTCCTTTATGTGGTTCGCCTGAGGACACCCGTGAAGGAATCTCACAAGCGATAAGCTGATTGCTGTCTGTTTATCGTGTCTTCTTACTCTCCAAGCAAATGTAGCCATATCATCGAAAAAGAGAACTGATATCAGTGACTTGAGCCGCGGCAGTGAGCTGAAAGCTCAGACATCGTTGTGTTTACCAAAGATATGAATGCGCAAGTGGGAAAACTTAGCGCCTCTGAGATTCTATATGTGATCAGCTTGGATTAGACTCCGTGTGCGAACGACGGCGGACGACCGTTCAGCAGAGTAGTGACCACAGACTGTTTTTTACGCTGTACCGAATTCCGGAATAACTGAAGTCATCTGACCATACAGTGTCCTCTAACAGCGCCTAAGCCACGGACCCAAATTGAACACATCGCCATCAGCTACCAGTGGCACGGAAAATAACTGACTGCTGCTCGTTTTGGAACACCTGTGTGTATTCTGGTCATGCACCCGTCCGGAGTCGCTTCTCTCTTCGGTTTCCACGGACAGATTAGAAGGCTGGTAGGTTCCGAAGTTGACGGAACGTATCAGAACTGTCTTCTGAACACTTCCAACTGCTCCACTGCCTACTACACTACTGCCACTACACTAGATTTAAGACAGATCTGTGGCACTGTTTGAATCCACGATAAATGTTCCCGCTGGAACATAATGTGGTCTGATAAATTATCAGCTGTCAAATGAAACTCAGCGTGCACGCCGACCATGAAGCTTGGTGGACACCGAAGGCCAAGCAAATGGAAGAGGCGAATACTAGGAATGCCCGCAAATTAGTTCCAGTGATTGGTGCGACGCGCCCGAGGGAAACCGCCTGTAGTTGAAACCATCAAGGATCAAAATGGCACAACCATCCCCAATGAAGGACATCCGGACCATTAGACTTTGAAGAACACTTTTCCTGACCACCTGCTAATCAGTCGGATCCTTGAACCGCAACAGGACCCTGGACAGCGAACCTGGAGCTCCCTAAGGCCCACAATTCTATGACTGCGTATCCTCCCAAGGGCCACTAGGCTCCTGGTCCAAATGACCTCCCAATCACGTCTCCCAAGAATGGGTGAACCTTCGGTAAGCACTTGTCTAATCTATTCCCCCCTTATCTTGAGAAAAGAAGGAAAGAATCGGCGATAGTGCCCGTTTGAAGAGAAACCCGCAGTGAGCACGGCAATCACACGGGTATCCGCTTGAGTGAGCAACGAGAATCTTAGCGTCACTTGTCCTTCGCCACCATATGGCGGCCCGTACAGCACTGACTCGAGAGCAGCAAGCAGGATTGCGACCCAGTAGGGTTGCATTGGCCAAATCTTCACATTCCGCCAGTGCTAGAATACAACCATACGTAATAACGACTCACAATTTTAGTAATCCTGGAGTCCCAAGGCGTATTCGACTGGGTTGACCTCTTTTTTCATAAAACACCTAGCCAGCAAAGAATGTCACGGAAGTTTGTAAGGGTTTCCATACTTCGCGGCAATGTTTTGTCTTGGATGCAAGTTGTCTTCATTCCTATTCGCACCAGTGAGCTTTGTTCGATAAGTTACCAGGGATTCCCCGCCTTCTGTGAAAATGGCTGGATACCGATCGCTCCGTCTTAAGACCTTCTCACATCTCAGTACGGATATTTCCGACGGGCGACTAAAGTTTACATCCCACTCGCCCGCAGGAACTACCTCTAATGGCTGTGTTACAGGAGGCTAGCTGTTCGGCCCATTTTTCCAGTCGGCGGTTTTGTGAATGAATTGATGGGAAGCCTTTTTCATTTATCGGGACTCAACTCACCAATGGCTGACACTGACGGACAAGGCGCATGCACGGAGTCAGAGGCGCTCCCACGTCAAAGTTATCACCAGTGAGTAGCTGACACATTCGGTTCCTTTAAACAAATAGACCAATTCAATCCGCCATCGGATCCAATGGTTGGTTATATCCCACTCATCCTCCAAACTTCCGCAGACGAAAGCCGCAGCATCTAGGACCAAGGTACCCTTGGTGCATTGTTTATACTGAATGGTGAGCCCACTTCCTAAGATGGGGTGGAACAAATCTGAAAAGCCTGTTGTCTCTGGTTGTTGTCAATAATCCCCACTCTCGTTGTTGCAACAAGGCTTCTTCAGGCAGTAACCAACAACACCCTCACAACAATATCCCAGAGGTGCATGAGCAGTGGTAAAGACCCAGGTGTGTTGATTACACTGGACAGAAAGACAGATACGATGAGATAAATACTAGCCGCTGCCGAAACACCTTGAGTGATAAAACGCCCATGAGCCTCTAAACACCTTAGAATTCCGCCTGTTTTTCTCTAAGTACATTCGCCTCATCCTGAATAGGAAGTATCCGCTTATTGTCCGCAGTTACAGGACAGGATCATGGGTGACAACGTGGTGAAGAGACGTGACAGTTCCTTATGATCATCAATGACGGTCCCACCACAAGACAGCCCGAAATAATTAAGGATCAGAGAAACAGGTGTCAAAAGTATTAAATGCTCCCCAGAAGAGGGAATTATAGTTATTCCGCGTATATATGCATCGTTCCCTCAACCTTACACACTAAATTTATCAGTCCTGTCCTGCATTGAACCAGAAACTGGAATAAAAGATCCGACCTTAATTACTTCCAAAACGAGAGCTCCTATTAACTCCTGCTTCTCCTGCCAAATATATAGGTATATGCATATATATATACATATATATATATACATATAT